TGTTAGCCAGGATGGTCTCGATCTCCTGACCTCGTGATCCACCCGTCTCGGCCTCCCAAAGTGCTGGGATTACAGGCTTGAGCCACCGCGCCCGGCCGAGCAGTGCTTTCTAAGCAGAGGTTGCAGGAGGGAAGGGTCTCCGATCCTGGAACGCCTTTTATGCCAGGAAGAAAGGATGAATTGAAAGGATGAAATGGCAAATGTCATGGTAGACTATTGGACTATTCCTGCAGCTCAGGAAAGTGGACTGGAAATAACAGGTTTGGCAAATACCCTGTTATTGTGGTAATTAAGGCAGAGGGAGGGTTTGGAATGAGCTCACAAAGGGAACTCTGTAGAATGAACAGAGTAGGCTTCTCAGGCAATGCTTAAATCCTGGAGGTCTCTAGGGTAGGTAGGACAGAAAGTCCTGTTATTTTCCAGGTAGACAGACTTGGGCGCCAGGGAATTAATGCTGGTCACCCAGAGAGTTGTGCAGTTTTGTCTACCATTGTTAAATCAGGCAGTGACCTTCCTCAAATACTTTTCACTCCACACACTTACTTGGAAGCCATGTATATTTTGCTTGCTCTTCCCATTTAAAATCGTAGTCCACTCTATTCCACCCCCATGAGGAAGCTTTTGGGTAGAAAAGTGTATAGAGGAATAAGTTGATGTGCATCAGATGTGCAAACTTTAGTGTGCATCAAAACCACCTGGAGGACTTGTTAAAACAGATTGCTGGGCACCATCCCGGGAGTTTGATTCAGTAGATCTAAGGTGGAGTTCAACAATCTGCATTACTAACACGTTTCCAGTATTATGATGATGCTGTTCCAGGGACCACACCCAGAAACTACCTTTTACCACTCTAAAAGGTAGCTGATTGGTTTTTGCTCTGTAATATAAATTCCTTAACGAGTTTAAAATATTGATCTGAGCCCTTGTAATTGCCTCGAATGTTTAATGCTAATGTGGGTTTAATGCTCAAGCCCACGAGGGGAGCCTACAACCACCTAACAACTCCCTTCGGGAGTGATTTTGATTAGTTCATCTACAGTCCAACTAAGATTTCCCACAAATATTACTTTCACAGGAGGCTAACAAAAAACGCTGTGTTTGCCCCCAGAAAATACCTGGAGAACGGCATTTCAAAGGCGGAGAGGCTGCACCAGCCTCCCTGTCTCAGCCCTTCTCTACTGCCCACCACTGAAGGGGCCCCGGATACCCCCAGGACTGCTGCAACTTCCTAGGTGACTTGAGGCAGCCTTAAAAGGGATTGGCGCAGGGTCCTTGCGACAGATAAATGTGATTAAAAATCCACTGGGCCACACGAAGGGAGAGTCTTTCTCTCAGGTGGAGCCTAGGGGCGGGACTCAGGGACAGCCCGCTCCCCGCACCGCCCCCTCCGGCTTCGGGGGCGTTCCCGGCTGCAGCAGCGATCCTAACGGGCTCGCGAGACGCCCCGCCTTTCCTGGGCCCGCCCCCGGCTCCATCTTGCGGGCGACCGGGTTGGGCTGTGACGCTGCTGCCGGGGTCAGGTGAGGAGCGGCGCCCCCTCCCCTTCCCACCTTGTCCGCCTCGGTGGTCTTGCCCTCGGCCTGCTCTGGGCGCCGCTGTCCCGGAGCTGGTGGGGCGCGTCTGAAGGGCCGTGTGGGCCTCCTGGGTGGCGGCGACCCGGTGTGCGCCTCTCGGAGCCGGGCTGCCGGCCAGGGTGTGTTGGGGTGGCGTGGGTGAGGCGGCCGGCGCGGCTTACGGGAAGCCCTTCGGTCCGTTTGGAAATCCCAGGGACCAGTGGCGCCCCGCCCTCGGTCAGGTGGAGGGGCTGAGGCCGGAGCGTGGCCCAGCCGCCTTGCGGGAGGCTGAGTAGGGAAACGCACGGGCAGTGCTGAAAGCCATCTGGCTGGTGGTGGCTGTACTTTCCGGTGACACAGCGAATTTAGGGAAACTTGGGAAATTTTTACTGTGCTTAGTGAAGCGTAGGACAGAATGCGCCAGGCCAAGGTTGTACACTGGTTCTCGTTTACAGTTCTTGGAAGCTCTTCTAGGATAGCAGTCCATATTTAATTCCTGTTCCCCGACCAGCAGCAAATGTGTGTTGAAATTAGCTCGTCCTGTGCAAAAACTGCCCAAGAAAACCAAGGTGCAGAGGTAGATGGCTGATGTCCACCCTAAAGTGACAGACATGACGCTGTTATCTTCCGGCTGCCGTAAATGCCATAATTTTTGCCAGCTGATAGCCAGCTAATCTGCTAAATGTGTCCGAATTAGATGATGTGAGTGTAATGAGTTACCTTCCAGGCAAGGAAAGAGTTTCAAGCCCTAAATAGGTAGAAGAGATAATTTTGGACACTGCAAACTTTCAGTCCTCACTGGTGGGTGACTACCTACCTGTCCGTGCAGAGGACTAGCCATGCCTCCACGTTCTTTCTCCAAATCGCTGACTGATTTAAATGATCCTACCAGACCTAGAGGCCGGTTTTGCAAAATTGTATTCGCTGTTGCGCGTTATCTTCAGTCACCCTTCCTGTTTCGTGTATTTTTTTCCCCCATAAATTTGCAACAGCTGCCTCTTGGTTTCCTGGGCTTCATGCCATCTGTGAGAAACGGTGAGACCCAGCCCTCTTACTGACTGACTCACTGGGTGGAGATGGTTTGGAAAACCAAAAATGATTTTCTAGCCTTTTAAAAGTGGTTGCTAACAGCAGAGAATGTTTTAAAAAAAAAAAAAAAAAAAAAAAAAAAAAGTGAGTTCACCTAAATTTTGCCTCAATCTGATTGAACCGGGAGCTCAAAAAAAAAAAAAAAAAAGAAGGCCCGGTGCGATGGCTCATGCCTGTAATCCCAGCACTTTGGGAGTCCGAGGCGGGAGGATCACGAGGTCAGGAGGAGTTCGAGACCAGCTTGACCAACACGGTGAAACCCTGTCTCTACTTAAAAATACAAAAATTAGCTGGGCGTGGTGGTGCGCGCCTGTAATCCCAGCCACTCTGGAGGCTGAGGCAGGAGAGTCACTTGAACCCCGGAGGCGGAGGTTGCAGTGAGCTGAGATCGCCACTGCACTGCAGCCTGATCGGCAGAGAGACTGTGCCCCCCCCCAAAAAAACCAAAAAACAAGGCCGGGCGCAGTGGCTCACGCCTGTAATTCCAGCACTTTGGGAGGCCGAGGCGGGTGGATCACGAGGTCAGGATATCAAGACCATCCCGGTTAACACGGGGAAATCCCGTCTCTACTAAAAATACAAAAAATTTGCCGGGCGTGGTGGTAGGCGCCTGTAGTCCCAGCTACTCAGGAGGCTGAGGGAGGAGAATGGCATGAACCCGGGAGGCGGAAGTTGCAGTAAGCCGTGATTGTGCCACTGCATACCAACCTGGGCGACAGAGTGAGACTCCCTCTCAAAAAAACAAAAAAAACTCTAGACTATTCATTTGGGCAAAGTTGAGAACTTTTTTGAGTCACTCTGGGCGTTATTTAGCTTTTTACAAAAACGTTTAAAATCTGCCTTTTGAATAAATGATATATGAACAATTCTAAGGGCTAAAGTACATTGAAAAGTCAGTCTTTGCCGGTGCAGTGAGTGACGCCTGTAATCTCAGCACTTTGGGAGGCCGAGGCGGGCAGATCAGGAGATCAGGAGATCGAGACCATCCCGGCTAACACGGTGATAGCCCGTCTCTACTAAAAATACAAAAATTAGCCGGGCTTGGTGGCACGCGCCTGTAGTCCCAGCTACTCAGGAGGCTGAGGCACAAGAATCTCTTGAACCCAGGAGGTGGAGGTTGCAGTGAACTGAGATGGAACCACTGCACTCCAGCCTGGCAACAGAGTGAGACTCCATCTGAAAAAAAAAAAAAGAGTGAAAGAGAAAAGTAAATAGTCTTCTCCATTGTGTCCCAGTTCTTCATACAGGAGGCAGTCACTGTTTTCTACTTCCTTGAGTGTCCTTTCAGGGATATTCTATAGATCCAAATCAGTACATTTTTTACACATATGGCTGCACACTATGCAGTTTTTCCCTTTGCCTTTTTTTTTTTTTTTTCATTGATATGTGTTACAGATGGTTTCATATATGGGTAAAAAAAACAAAAAAGCTGCCTCATTTTTAATAACCACATAACACCTCCTTGTATGGCTATCCATAATCTGTTTCACCTGTCCCTCCTTTTTAAAAATTTCAGCAGTGGCCCGGCACAGTGACTCACGCCTGTAATTCCAGCATTTTGGGAAGCCGAGGTGGGTGGATCACCTGAGGTCAGGAGTTCGAGACCAACCTGGCCAACACGGTGACACCGTGTCTTTACTAAAAATACAAAACTTAGCCGGGTGTGGTGGCACGTGCTTGTAATCCCAGCTACTTGGGAAGCCGAGACAGGAGAATCGCTTGAACCTGGGAGGTGGAGGTTGCATTGAATGGAGATCACACCACTGCACTCCAGCCTGGATGATAGAGCAAGACTCCATCTCCAAAAAAAATAAAAGATAAAATTTCAACAGCTTTTGGAGTACAAGTGGTGTTTTGTTACATGGATGAATTATATGGTGGTGAATTCTGAGATTTTAGTCACCCAAGTAATGTACATTGTACCTAATGTGTAGTTTTTATTCCTAGCCCCCTTTCACCCACCGCTTTCTGAGTCTCTAAAGTCCATTATAACACTTCATACCTATGCCTTTGCATACTCATAGCTTAGCTTCCACCTATAATGTGAGAACATACGGCTTTTGGTTTTCCACCCCTGTGTTACTTCACCTAGAAAAATTGCCTCCAGCTTAATCCAAGCTGCTGCAAAAGACGTTATTTTGTTCCTTTTAATGGCTGAGTAGTATTCCATGCTTTATGTATACCACATTTTCTTTATCCACTCAGTTGATGGGCACTTAGGTTGATTCCACATCTTTGCAGTTGTGAATTGTGCCGCTATAAATATACATGTGCAAAAGTCTTTTTCATATAATGACTTCCTTTCTTTTGGGTAGATACCCAGCAATGGAATTTCTGGGTGGAAAGGTAGATCTATTTTTAGCTCTTTAAGGAGTCTCCATACTGTTTTCTGTAGAGGCTGTATAGCAGTGTAATAAGTGGTCCCTTTTCCCCACATCCACACCAACATCTATTGTGTTTTGACTTTTTTTTTTTTTTTTGAGACTGAGTCTTGCTCTTATTGCCCAGGCTGGAGTGCAGTGGCGCCATCTCGGCTCACCCCAACCTTTGCCTCCCGGATTCAAGCAATTCTTCTAACTCATCCTCCTGAGTAGCTGGGATTACAGGCATGTGCCACCATGCCCAGCTAATTTTGTATTTTTAGTAGAGACAGGTTTCTCCATGCCGTTCAGGCTAGTCTTAAACTCCTGACCTCTTCAGGTGATCTGCCCGCCTCGGCTTCACAAAGTGCCGGGATTACACATGTGGACTACCGCGCCAGGCCCTTTTTTTGGCTTTTTAATAATGACCATTCCTGTAGAAGCAAGGTGGTATCTCATTGTGGTTAATTTGCATTTCCCTGATGATTAATGATGTTGAACATTTATTTCATGTTTGTTGGCCATTTGTATGTCTTCTTTTGAGAAATGTCTATTCATGTCCTTTGCTCAGTTTTTAATGCAATTGTTTTTTTTCTTTTGATTTCAGTTCCTTGTAGATTCTGGATACTAGTCCTTTGTTGGATGCATAATTTACAAATATTTTCTCCCATTCTGTTGGTGGTCTGTTTACTCTGTTTATTTCTTTTGCTGTGCAGAAGCTTTTTAGTTTAATTAGGTCCCATCTATTTATTTTTGTTTTTGCTGCATTTGCTTTTGGGGTCTTAGTCATGAATTCTTTGCCTAGGCCAGTGTTTAGAAGACTGTTTCCAATGTTCTAGAATTTGTATAGTTTCAGGTCTTATATTTAAATCTTTTATCAACTTGAGTTGATTTTTGTATAGGGTGATAGATAGGGATCCAGTTTAATCTTCATGTGGCTTGCCAGTTTTCCCAGCATCATTTATTAAATAGGGTGTCCATTCCCCAACTTTTGTTTTTGTGTGCTTTGTCAAAGAGCAGTTGGCTGTATGTATTTGGCTTTATTTCTGGGTTCTCTATTTTGTTCCATTGGTCTATGTGCCTACTTTTATACCAGTACCATGCTGTTCTGGTAGCTATAGGCTTGTAGTGTATTTGAAGTCTGGTAATGTGAGGTCTCCAAATTTGTCTTTTTGCTTGGGATTGCTTTGGCTATTCAGGCTCATTTTGGTTCCATATAAATGCTAGGATTGTTTTTTCTACTTCTGTGAAAAATGATCTTGGTATTTTGATGGGAATTACATTGAATCTGTAGATTGCTTTGGGCAGTATAGTCATTTTCACAATATTGATTCTTCCAATCCGTGAGCACGGGATGAGTTTCCATTTGTTTGTGTCATCTATGATTTCTTTCAGCAGTATTTTGTAGTTCTCCTTGTAGAGATCTGTCATCTCCTTGGTTAAGCATATTCCTAGGTATTCTATTTATTTTTTATTTTTGCAGCTGTTGTAAAAGGGATTGAGTTCTTGATTTGATTC